ACGAAGGTTAGTCTTTATAATAGAGTTACTGGAATATTGATATGGATTGTATTAATAAATGCTCTTTTTTTGTCTTTCTCTTCCCAACAATGAAGACTGAAACCAGGTGGGCTCCTCCATAACCAGCATCAGAAGAACCTAATATTTCCTTATTTCCTATTTTTAAGCTCTTTCATATCTAATATGAGGTTTTGTGGGTCTACTAATATGAAATATACTTACATGTTAAATTTAATCCAGTGTGTTTGGTGTGCAAATCAAATCTTTTTTTCACTTGTTGTTATATCTAACTTACAATGTTACAATGTGTGACCTCAAATGTTTCAACATGTAAAGCTCATAATGCTGAATAATTAAATTCATGATTAAAGATGGATATTCAGTTGTCATTAAAACTTTTGTTCAGTTTTATGTATCTTGTATTATTCTTCTTTAACTGTATATGTTTCCAATAACAATTTCTATCAATACCATTTCTATAAGCATCTATTAAACATTCATTAAATACATATGCAAAATGCAATGTAATAATGCATTTATAAGGAACTGCAAAGATGGCTATACACATATAAGAAAGTTGTTAAGACATTATATCCATATTTATTATTCATTATGATTTTTTTTTACATTAACTGCATTTTAATTAGTGTTCATATAATGTTAATTGTATTGTTAATGCTGATGAACCAGCTCAGGCCAACAGGCTCCTCCAATAATGTTATTAGATTTTAGGCTGACGTATTTACTAAAGGATTTCCAGAAAAAAAAAAAATGCAATTCACAAATTAAACCATACCTTGTATACAAGTGGTTATGCTAGTGGTGCCACAGTAGTTTTAAACCCAATATGGAAAACATAATATACACCAGTGGTTCTTCAAATATTAAAGCTCTGGATCCCATTTATCACTGGAAAGCATTAAGGAAATACATTTCTATTAAAGATGTTGAGAAAACTCAACTTTTTTGCTTAAAACATTAACATCACAGCTTTGTTCGGATTCAGCATGTTCAGTGTTGGCTTCACAATGCTGAACATAAGAGTGAAAATATAAACATAATGGTGGCAAATTAAGAGCAATACAACTATTGATACAACTATAATTTAAGTTTCTACAGCATAATTTTTTTTTATGTTTTAGCAGTCTCGCAATTGGACAACAGAAATATCAGGAGTGTATATTGTTTCTACAGGCAAGGAGCAAAACATTGACAGATCTGCTTTTGTGTGCCATTTTTGTGGGGTTTGTCTTAATGTAGGTTACCACTTGAAAACAATATTTTTTTTTTATTGTTAAGTCAATAAATTTCTCACTGTTTTTTATGACAAAGTGCCATCACCAGCCAATTGCGAATTACTCTCCCTCAGTACTTGCCAAGGGCCCAAGGACCACCAAAGGATGTTTAAGTGGGCTGTGCCCCAGAGGTGGAGAAACCCTGATAGACACCACTTGGCACTAACTTATTGCAAATCTAATAGAACCACTAGCAGACATTAGCATTACTGTATAAGCAAAGCTACTTAAAAAGTAGTTAAGTAGTTCTCTAGTTGTTAAAGTTAGAACCAGTGAGTGGGGAAACAATGATGTTTCTGCTCACTGCCTTTGTGCAACAGCAGCTTTATGCCTAGTGAGATATCAGGGATGTCCTTAAGGAAGGGGCTGAAGGGTACTTGACATAATGACAAGTTTATAAATTCCTTTGTTTCACTGGAAGGTTTTTGAATCCTAATAGTATCACCATGTTGTCTTCTATGTAATTACACATGTAGTAGGGTGAACTGCTATTGTTTCAACAAGACTTTTCTCATTTTAATAGGAGAGTAATTATGAGACTGCTTATCCTGCATCTGCATAAGAAATGCCAACAGGTAGTTAAGTGTAGTAGTATGATTGTGTTCTGACATAGTAATTAAATTTTCAGGCTTTAATATGTAAGGGTATGATGTTTGATACGGTATTTGGTGGGTTTCCTCCCATGAACTGCTTGCTTTAGGTCCTTCCACAACATTTCTATAGGTTTAAGGTCAAGACTTGACTTGGCCATTCCAAAACATTAATTTTATTCTTCTTTAACTATTCTTTGGTAGAATGACTTGTGTGCTTAGGGTCGCTGTCTTGCTGCACTCACGTTCTCTTGAGTTTCAGCTCACAGACAAATGTCCTGACATTTTCTGTTAGAAATTGCTGGTATAATTCAGAGTTCACTGTTCCATCAATGATGGCAATCCATCCTGGCCCAGATGCAGCAAAACAGGTCCAAGCCATGATACTATCACCACCGTGTTTCACAGATGTTTTTTTATGCTGGAATGCTGGAAGATCCACAATATGGCTCATTTTAAGCTTCCCGGCTGAAGCAGTCAGATTCTGATTTAACATCTGCTGGTAACTGATGGAGTCCATGATGCTATATATCTGAACAAGTAGTCCAGGGCCTTTGAAAGAAAAACAGTCACAATAAATCACATTTCCACCATATTGACATTGGGGATGAGGTATTTTTCTGCATGGCTATCTTCGTGTCTACCCCAAACTTACGTTTGATGTTTGTTGCCAAAAACATCTATTTTGGTCTCATCTAACCATAGAACACAGACACATTTAAATTTCTATTAACGTTTGGCAAACTGTAAGAGCCTAGGTTTTTTGGTCATTGACAGCAGAGACCTCTTCCTGGTAACCCTACAAACAACTTGTGGCTGTATAGGTGGTGTTTGATTGTAGTTTGGGAGACATTCTGACCCCAAGACCTGACTAATTTGACTAAACTAATCAAATTAATCATTGCTCCACCTGTTTTCCCCGTTTTTGTACTAACAATGTTTACTATCCGGTGTCGGCCAGAGGAGGATGGGTTCCCCTTCTGAGTCTTGGTTCCTCTCAAGGTTTCTTCCTGTTCCTAAGGAGTTTTTCCTTGCCACTGTCGCCACTGGCGACGCTCATGGGGGCTTGGACCCAGATTTCTTTCTGTAATGCTGATTTCCTTGTAAAGCTGCTTTGTGACAACACCTGTTGTAAAAAGCGCTATATAAATAAACTTTACTTACTTACTTACTAATGTCTGCATTTCACCATCTATGATCCTTGGCGACTCTTTGTCCACTTGAACCATCCTCCTTACTGTGCGTGGGGTTGGTATAGGCATACGTCCTCTTCCCAGACAGTTTTTCACATCTCAAATTGTTTTAAGCTTCTTAATTATTTTCTGATAGTGGAAATAGGCATTCTCAACCACTTTATTGCTGTATTCTTTGGTCTTTCTCATAACGGTGGATGGCTGAGGGAATTTGGCCTATGTTTCATCTCAAACATATTCCCACAGGTGACACAGGAAATCAAGGCTGACCATTTATGTCAGCCATAACCATTTATGTTCCTAATTGCTTAGGCTTTATAATATAAAATATGAAATGAAATATACTTCAGTTAGATTTTACTCAAGAATTTCTAGCAGTGCCAACAATTGCAGTGCACATAGATTTGAGAAAAATATTTATTTCATGACAAGGTTTAGTTTGTTTTCTTTCAAACATTATACTTTAAATGGATATTAAATAGGTTTTTTCTTAATTTGTTATTTTGAATGAACGATCAAAAGGAATTAAGAATGCCTTTTATAGCCCATTTTTCTCATGATTAAATTAATAATATATAAATAAATTTAGTTGAAGCACTCAGTGATGACAATTCAAATGTTCATTATGTTGTAATAATCATTAATAAGTACTGTATGTGCTTCATGATTATGTAACATATCTACTGTTGAAAAGGCATTATAATGGATAGTGACATTTGTGTTCCAACATATTTATTATCACCAAAGAATAATATCAAATTATTACAGCATTATGAGACATTTTTTGTAGTTTTTAAGTATGCTCACAAAGCATTTTTAACAAGATACAAAGAGATATGAGCATGTTTAGAATATTTCGGAACACAAGCTTCATAAAACGGGTCACTGTCATCTCTTTCTGAACCCTCAACAGTACCCACTGTCATCTGATTATTTGTTTTGAAAATCAACTTGCACTCTTTGGCATGTCTGATGGGAACTCATGCAAATTGCTTTATGAGTCCTCTTTACTGGAATTGTAATCATGGGTGACAAAAACAAAGCAAATGAAGATTATGATGGTAACTCTACAGGACTGAGTACAACAGAGGTGGAGCATATCATGAGTGAAATATAAACAGGTGAGATACTTTATATGAACGCAATGTGAGGAGAAGAGGAACAGAAACACATCACGGAGGGGGAGCAGGGGAAATTTACTTTTCTACCAGGGCGTTTTTTGGAAATACAGAAGAAGAAAGAACATTTTCTAGTAGGACTGTATTCATTTTCATGGTGTGAGTATGGATATTTACACCTGTTCTATTGTTTGTGATCATAATTACATGTCATTGTGAATATAATATGAAATGATACTTTGAGTGATACTAAATCCTTAACTGTGATCCAAACAGCTGTGAAATAGTTTCTCTCAGAAATGGATCTAAGATGGATTACAGTCATCATGCTTTTCTCAGGTCAGTGTGCACTTCATCTTAATGAAGAGTTTCATGTAGTCGAAAACTAAATTAGACTCCAACTAAAGTTCAATGGGTGTCTGGAATCAGTCCTTCTTCAGTCCATACACTTGTATGTGTGAGAGACAGTTCTGTATTGTATGTGTTATTATCTACTTTAAGCATGATCTTAATGTGTTTACTACACTAAAGCGTTTTACATGAGTGTATTTTTAAAACATTTTATTTTCACAGCTGTCTGTGGTGAATCTTCATATGTCCCTTATCGTTATATCTTTGTGAATAAGAATAAAACCTGGACTGAAGCTCAGAGCTACTGCAGACAGACCAATACAGACCTGGCCACCATCAACAACATGGAGGAGATGAAGAATTTGAATGCTAGTCTGAAAAACAAAACTAGAAGCCTTGTTTGGATTGGCCTAGAAAAAGGGAACACTGGGAAATGGCAGTGGTCTCTAGCAGAGGGAAATTTCTATAGTGAGAGAGATGCTTACAGAAACTGGAGCCAAGGAGAACCAAACAATGATGGAGGGAAGGAGTTCTGTGTCGCAATGAAGAAAACTGATGGAACCTGGATTGATGATTGCTGTGCTACACCGTGAACATTTATGTGTTATGACGGTGAGCACATACAGATACATGTTAATGAGTGATGACATCACCTTATAAACTGGCCCTGGAAAACACTGAATTCTAACTGGCTGATAGATGTGAATCATTTTCATCCTCCTGCTTTTGTGGCAAATATTATTTTGTGAATTATGAAGGTAATAATTTACATGCTGAGTATTATGTAACCAAGTTTTTAATAAGGTAAATTAAATGTAGCTTAGAAAAGAAGACAAACACTGAAAGATACAGATTGATTGAAAGCAAGATGACCTGGAGTGAGGCTCAGAGCTACTGCAGAGAACATCACACAGATCTGGCCAGTGTGAGGAACCAGACTGAGAACCAGCAGATCTACACAGCAGGACAAGCATTACAGTATGAGCATTGTTGGATTGGCCTATTCAGTGATTCCTGGAAGTGGTCAGATCAGAGTACCTCCTCATTCCGATACTGGGCACCTAACGAGCCAGATGATGATGGTGAAAATCAGTACTGCGCTGCAGTGTATATGACTACGCCAGCCGCAGTGGGTTTCTGGCATGATGAGAACTGTGAGCATAAGTTCCCATTCATCTGCCGTAAGAGTAAGTTATGTTTCCTTTATTTAAAATGTATTCATATCTAATTAGTGGGTTTCCTTTTTGAACTATTTGTGTTGTTGTGTTCAGCGGAAGACCATTCATCTCAGAATGCTTTATGTTATACTGCTTGTCATTATGCAAATACTTTTTATCTTTTTATCCAGATAAGCTGATCTTGATCAATCAGAATCTGACCTGGAGAGAAGCTCTGAGATACTGCAGAGATCATCATGTGGATCTGGTCTCAGTTCAGTCTGAGGAGATCCAGCTCTGGGTGAAGGAGGTGGCACAGAAAGCCTCCACTGAACATGCGTGGCTGGGTCTGCGTCACACCTGCACCCTCAGCTTCTGGTTCTGGGTGAGTGGAAAGTCTATCTGCTACCAGAACTGGGATCCAAGTAACGGGACCGGAGGAGAAGACTGCAGCTCTGTAGAGAGAACTGGAGCAGTGCAGTCTAGAGGAGGTCAGCAGTGGGTCAGCCTGCCTGAGGATCAGGAACTCAACTTCATCTGCACCACCTATGAAGGTTAGTTACTGTATTTCAGTGTTACTGGAATATTAATGTAAACTCATTTGTAAACCCTCTTTTTGTCGCATTCTTCCCAAAATGAAGACAGAAACCAGATGTTCTCTGTCACGCATCCACCAAACTCCCTTGTGGATTCGGACTCAATCTCCCAGAATCCTCTGGGAGATCACATGACTTCCGAGCTTCCCGTAGGCAATAACACTGAGACGGACTCAATTTCCCAAGAACCTCTGAGGAATCACATGACTTCTCACGTGACTCCGCGCTCCTATCAGCGCTCTAGATCTCCGGAGTATTGATGTGAATCACCTGTGTTAGTTGTCATATGACACAGTTAGTTTAGTATATAAGCCCGGGCTTTAGCTTAGTAAAGTTGCAAGGTATTGTATCCACTATTGTGACTTACTGAGCGGTTTTCTATTGTTGTGTATGCTGTGTATGATTTTGCCTTTCGTTTTCTCAACTCTGTCCTTTCTGCTCTGCCCTTTGGATTTGTTTGCACTGAGTCTGATCTTGGATTTTCACCAATTGCCTGCACCTTCGACCACGCTTCTGCCTTTCCCTTTTTGGATTTGATGCATTGTCTGATGTATGTCTGTGTGTATTTCTTGTGCCTTCTGGATCTGAACACTGCCTGGTTTTTGACGACGACTTGGAACTTTGTTCCTATCAGTAAAGCCCTTTCTGTAAGTTACATCTGCGAGCGTCTGACTCTGCTTCAAACCTTACATTCTCCTCTTCCACACCCAGCATACACAGATCTACCATTTTACTGTTTTGTGCTTTCCTACATAATACAGGGTTATATGGGTTTGTCAGCATAAAAATATATTTACATATTATATATAATCCACTGTCTTAGGTGTGCATATTTAATCTTTCTCATACATTTTTCCATTTAAGTTACAATGTATCATCTTAAAGATTTAAACGTATGTGAAACTAAGAGGTTCATGATTAAAGTTTTTTGTCAATGTTTAAATATGTTTGTCTTATGTGGTTTTATCTGTTTTTTTACAATTTTATTTCAACTGTACACTTAAAAATAAAAGTCAGCTCAACTTGTAATTACAAGGTAACCGATTACACTCTTTTTCCTGATTTAACTCAACCCAACTCAAACTTGGAGATGGTGGGATTGCGTGATAGAAAAAGTGATAGACAGTGAGGAAAATGAGTAAAAACTAGTTCTCGATTGTTTGTTACCTTATATATCTAGGGTGAGCTGAATTTATGTTATTTCTAGTGGGATTTTTTGATGCATACATCACTTGCCATGAGCCTGTATTTCTAATCATGTTCTTTGTATACCTGTTATGTAACAGCATTTGATTCTGGATAAGCAGTCATAATGGATTTCAGTTTTAGTGTCTCATTACTGCTTTAAATTTCAATAAATATGAAAAAAATCCAGTCTGTAGGCCTCATCGTTGTCTTTGTTCGTTCCAATCTGCTATATATTATGAAGAGTCCAGTGCTGTAACTAAGATCTAATGAGACTCCATGCTAGCTAAATAAATAAATAATTCTCATGCCATATTAAAATGACATAAAAAAATATATGTAATTTGCATTTTATTCAATATTGTTTCACAAACATGTTAATGCTATCAAAGCATGCCACCCCACACACTAGCATCTGACTGTAACCATGATGTTTAGAGTATCCACTTCATAATTATTAGAACCCTTGGGTTACTCTTTGAATTTTATTTTATTTTTTTTATTTAATAAAACCACATATGTCACAATTATTTGCACCCTTTGGAATGTTTTTAAGAAACTGTAACTGACACATGTCATCGGGGCACAATCAATCTCAAAACTTTGGTAATCTTTTGCTCTGGTTTTTGGGTTGAATATCATGTTTCATCAAAACAGTGCGCAATGGGCTTCAACCCATTTTCTCTTGTTTGATGGGTGTGTCAGAGGTGTCACCCAGTCAGCTGTGATGTATAAATAAACTGGGAGAACTGCAGGTTGGTGTATGTAACAGTTAAGGACATTAGAACACATGTTTGTTGTAACATTGTCTTTAAACCCGTTTCATTAGGTTCAGAAAAATCTTCAAAAAAGCCACAAACAATGGCCTTCTCAGCTGCCATAAGTGCAACAGTTGAGTGACAGAACAGAGTGATCAACGCACCATCATTTCCATTTATATAAACATATCGCTATGTTTTGTCAGGGCTGAATTTAACCCGGTTGTCATGTTGTCTCTCATCTCTGTGCACCATACAAGGTGGATCAGGAAAATTCACACCACACTTGAACACCTGTAAGTGATCTAAGACTCATTACTCCCCTTTGTTCGGTTCATTTATTTGCAAAGTCTCCATGAGTTCTGAGCCTGTGTTTTAACTCTCGCCTTGTCTTTCTGGCTTTTGAATATAGTTCTGCCTCTGATATTGCCTACCTGTGTTTTGACCCCTTCTTATATGGAAATTGTGGACTTTTACTTTTTTTAACATTGTGGCAGTAAAAATGTAATATAAACAAAAACACAGACTTACTTTGCTCTGGTTTAAGCTTTAGCTCTGCTATAGCCGCTTCTCTTGCATCTCTGGCAGGAAACTTTTCCTTAAAAGTAGAATAGTTTTTGTAAAATGTCTCTCAGCGTTTTATTTTTTATGAGGCTTCTCATTCACAAGCTTCTTATTTGAATTTTCCCAATCCACCTTGTATGGTGCCGGAGACACCAAAATGTAACTGCTGCACCATTTAAGGTGGAACAGAAAAATTCAAACAAGAAGCTGGCAAATGAGGAGCTGACTTCAGCTTTGTGACTTTTTAGTGTTTGACAGCTTCTTGATGCAGATTAAACCTATCAGGAATCCAGCCAGAGTGATTATAACTGCAGGTAAGTCCATTCATTTCCAAATTACAGATGTTCGTCTTACATCTTCTTTGCTTTTCCATTAGCTACTAGCTAGGCAAGAGTGTTGTCATTGCTATGGTGACCAGCAGTCTGTGTGCCGATTTTCAGGGTTAAAAGGCGAATAAGCAGTTATAGGCTACATTAACTCCAACATTTAAACCATTTATTGCTAAAACTGTGTTGAATGATCAGAAAAGCTTTATTTTACTGCAAAGAAGGGTTATTTTACTTTTACCTAAAACCGAACAGAATTACTTTTACCGAATTCTGCTGTGGAGCAGCAACAGGGCAGTAAAAGAGCTGCATACTGCCTACCCCTGTTCTAGAAGGTCTGAAAATGAAACAGTACTATTAATTTGTTTTGAAAATCAGCCTGCGTCATTCTTACACAGCTGATAAGATCTCATGCAAAGATCTGTACGCCTTCTCTTCACTGGAACTGTCCCTAATTTGGCCGATGGAAACAAAGACTGTCGTTGTATCTCACTAGGACTGCATGCAACAGAGGCGGAGCATTTCAAACAAGAGATATACAGAGATGAAATACTGTAAATGAACATAACGTGAGGAGAAGAGGAACAGAAACACATCACAAGGGAGAAAAACAGAGATACTTTCTTTTCTACCAGGGTATTTGTTACAAATACAGAGGAAAAAAAGAACGTTTTCCAGCAGGATTGCATTCGTCTTTGTGGTAAGAGTATAAATATTTTCACTTGTTCTGTTTGCTATGATCATCATTACATGTCAGTTGACAGTAGTGATGTTACGGAATGACATTGAGCATGATCTTAACATCTAGGTTGTGAAAAAGTTTCTCTCAGAAATGGATCTGAAATGGATCACAGTCATCTTGCTGATCTCAGGTCAGTCATTTTTTTAATTTACTTAAGGCTTTACTTAGTCAAACTAATAGAGGAGAGAGCGGCACAACATAACACTATTTAAGATAAATGTGTCATTTTATTTCAATGCAATAACCCACACACCTCAAATAAATACTTTTTTTTTTCCAAAACCTGATGTCTATGATCAAGACACAGGAGTACAAATGTTACAACTTAGATAAAAAGGTTGTAAGGACTAAAAGGACTAAAAGTCTTTCTTTAAGTAGTGTCATGAAAATGTAGGACAACATTTTCTGACTAAAGTTTGTATCTAAAAATTAAACTCATGATAAATCTTATTCTCTAAAGTCACTGTAAAAGATTTTTTTAAAGCAAGCATTATTTTCACAAGTGTAAATTTAGGAGTGAGGGTTTGGGTTTGGGACAGACACCTGCCCATAGAAAGTAACCAATAAATAATGATGTTGTTTATATATTGCTCATAACTATCTGTATGGATGCCTTGAGTTTAAATAGACCATAATACAGGATGATTCAAAAAGATTCATCAGTTTCAAAATTATTTATTTCACTTGTAAATCATTGCAGAACAATGCAATAAACCGTAAATGGTTTAAATGAGCATAAAGTTTATTATGTAATTTTATGAGTGCTCAATATGAACCTCCTCCAGCTGTACAGACAACATCAACGCCATAGCCAAATTCATCCCATACTCCATTCAGCATGTCGGGTGTCGCTGCACTCATGGCTCTTTCAGTGTGATTTCGGAGATCATCCAGTGTTGTGGAACCAACAACGAATGCTCTGAGCTGTTGGAGGTTCACTGGTGATGAAAATCACGCTGCACAGTTCTGACAGATTCACTCTTATTGAAGCGGAGAACGCAAAATGCTTTCTGCTCAGGGGTCTCATCTCCTCGCAGACTAAAGGGAGCCATGTTCCGGTGACAGTCAGAAACTCTATGATGCCCTCTTACAATTGGTATGTGAGTGGTTCCTAGGTGCCCTTGTAGTTGTAAAAACATGGCGCTTTGAAATCGGATGAATCTTTTTGAATCACCATGTATTATCTTTGTAAACATCTGAAGTCAGAATATTGTCAGAAATATTGTTTTACTTTGTGGCTGCAATTTAAATTGATTGAGTATAATGAACAATATAAATCAATAATATAGGTGTAACTTTTGTGACTTTTACACAATTTATTATTTGAAAAACACTTATGATGAAAACAATTGCCTTTTATTGTACTAAAACAGTCTTTAGGATAAATCTGGAGAAATATCTGTACAGTTGCTGTCAGTCGAGAGCATGACTAAAAACATCTTCTACTGGACCCTGTAAAACTAAATAAAATATCAATGTAATAATGTTATACTAAATATTCACCTCTTAAACTAGTTTGTGGCTCGCTCTCCCATACATGAAATGGTTGTCTGGAAACTATGTTTAACCTGTTTATTTACATTTGTGTGTGTGTGAGAGCTGTTTATGTGTTATGAGT